AACGGGTTATAATAGCCCACCACCGTGATCAGCCCGCCCGTCGCAATGGATGTGATGACAACGGCGATCAACATCGGCAGCAGCTTGATGCCCGCCTGCACCGCGCTCACCCCCTGGATGATCTGGAAGTACAGCGACAGATAGTACACCAGCGCAAAAAACCCCGCGCCAAAGAAGAAGGCAAAGATCAGCGCGCACGCCATGTCCCGCTCCCCAAACAACCTCGGCGGCAACATCCCCTTGTCCCCCTGCCACACCTGTATCCCCACAAACACAATCGCCAGCCCGGCGAAACCAACAAACAGCCCGATAACCGTCGCGCTGTTCCACGGGTGCTCGGTCCCGCCCCACTGCAGCGCCAGCAGCAGACACACAATCCCCGGGATCAGCGTCGCCGTGCCCAGCAAATCCAGCTCCATGATCCGCGCCACAAACGTCCGCCCCGTCGGGTTATTCTCCCGATTCACCGTCAGGAACCAGAAGATCACCCCCATCGCCACGCCGCCGATCGGCAAGTTGATGTAAAAACACCACCGCCACGTCACATGGTCCGTGAACGCACCCCCCAGCAGCGGGCCCGCGACCGACGCGATCCCAAACATGGCGCCGATCAGCCCAAACGCCGCGGGCCGCTTGCGCAGCGGGAGCGTGTACGACAGGATCACCACGCAGCCGGAGAAGAGCCCGGCAGACCCCACGCCGGCGATGGCGCGCCCGACGATGAAGGCGGTCGACGTGGGCGCGACGGCGCACACGAGACTCCCAACCTCGAACACGAAGACGGCGCCCAGGAAGACGAACTTGACGTTGAAGAGCCGGTAGAGCATGCCGTAGGTGGGCTGCAGCGAGGTGGTGGTGAGCAGGTAGGCGGCGCCGTACCAGCCGATGTCGCGCACGCTCTGGAACTCGCCTGTGATGGCGCCGAGCGCGGGCGCGATGATGGTCTGGTCGAGGGCGACGAGGAAGATGGAGAGGCAGAGGGAGAGGATGATGAGGATGAGGGTGGGGCCGGTGGGGTAGGTTTGCGTGGAGGGGTCGGCGGCGGCGGCGATTTTGGAGAGTTTGGCGGATTTGGTGGTGGTGGTGGTGGTGGTGTTGTCTGGGTTGGCGGCAGTCGTGATAGTGTCATTGTTGTCTCCAGAGTAGGATTGTCGAGATGTCGACGGCGACGGGGTCGAGGATGGAGCCCTGCCGCCGAGGCCGACGGGCGTCTTTTCGAGATCGGTGTCTGTCGTCATGTTGACGAGAGGGGATTTTGGGTGAAGCCCCCTTGCGGGCTGGTGGTGAGGTTGGCCTGGCAGGCCGAGTATGTATATCGATGTAATGATATCGAGTCGTGGAGCGAAACACTCGGGTGGAAAGTAAGTGTGTATGTAGTATTAATGAATTGAAATAAAAAGAGAAGAATACAAAAGAACTAATGCAAGTAGCTGCTGGCAGGTGTGTGGCAATGAGACGAAAAAGATCAAAAGCTCAAGTCAAGGAACAAAACAGCAGAAAGCTATGACACATATAAGTGTATGTAGGTCGGAACTTGGATCCGTAGTCGCATCGCGTAACTTAGCTCGGGGGAGGTTAGTCCCTTTCAGTATCCTTCCCTCATGTTCATTAGGGCTACCCCAGGGAAGGAAAAGGAAGGTACAAAGAAGGTACCCAAGATCAGGTCTCCCGCGCACCTGCCCCGAGTCAATGAGCAAGTACCTCTACTTACACCTCCCTCTGGACGGCGAAGGGCAGAAACAACGCCCTCATTCCCACTCGGGCAGTTGATATCTGCGTCTTTCAAATCAGGGGAGAGGAAACGAAGAACTATTGGCCGCGTCGCCACCCAAACTCCCGACTGCCGACCCGTCCACTCGGTTCTGATTCGATCTCGGGCTGCGATATCTCCGAGCCCCGTCCGTGCCGTAGATTCCCATTTACATAACGGGAAAAAAGTCCCGTCGTCATTCGTCAATCACGGCCGCAGTGGCAGAGCAGTACAAAATTTCTGAAAGCAGCTGGAAAGCAAATGTAATGATGACTCCACCATCCGCGACTAGCTTAGATATCTCAACGCGCTATTGGCCGATGAATAATAAGAATCCGTGATGGAGGCGTCTGCCGTTTGCAACCTGCGATCGAGAGGACCAGCTTCTCGCCGCGTGCCTAACCTAACCTAGCCCGTTACCGGCTTGGCTTCCATTCCTGCTACCACCATTGTCAGAATTTTTTTTTTTTAAATTTGATTACCAGTACAAGTGCAACAGCAACCAATATCTTTTTATCAATCCGAGCCTTGTCCGAGCTCCGACGAGGCGTAGTGCAGCTCGACATAATGCACTGTATTCGCGAAAAGCACGTCAAATGAGTCCAAAGAAAAGCCATGCGGTGCACACATGTCTCGGGCGCCTGCGTGGCGGCGTGGCATGGCGTCGTGCATGACCAAACCAGCACCGTTGATCTGTCTGTTTGTCATCCGGTTCGGTAGCTTCACTATTGTCAACTCTAAATAAAATGCACCGGTGCACCACCACCAACCGTTAGTTGCACATACGCCATCCCATCATCAAACTACCTCCCTCGCCGTCGTTTTTGCTGTAATAAATAAAAAAAGGCAACTTTTTAAAGTGGTAAAGCATATCCGTACCCGCATCCCACCCCCATCCGAGCACAGCTCAAAGCAAGGTAAACTATATCCTGGTATCATTAAGCAACATAGCCACAAACACATAAACAAAACCCACCCACCCCGTTCGTCCTCTTCCTGCCAAAGGGCAGGAGCATGATGTTCACGAAGACCTGCGCGCACGCCTCTTCCTTGGACCGAGATACTATCTTCGCGTCCGCGTCTTCTTCTGCGTCTGCGCCGTGTCTTCTTCCACCTCGTCCTCGCCCTTCTTGAGATCCTCGGTCAATCCCCACTCCTCCTTGTCGTACCAGTCCTCGCCATCAGACATGTCTCGGTTGGGCCCGCAGTGCGCCTCTGCCTTGGCCCATTGCATCACCGTCTTGCGCAGCCGGTCTGCCTTTAGGAGTCCCTCGTAGAGCTTCTTGGTCCCGCGCGCCACTTCCTCCTGCTTCTGCACGTACAACTGCAGCAGCCGGCGCATGTCCTCGGCCTCGCTCTCGGGGAGCCCAAAGTCGCGGTCCGGATGCGCTGAGCTTGGCGCGACGAATAGTGGGTGGATGAAGAACTCGCCGTCTATCGTCGGTTCGGGCGCCACCGAATTGACTCTGTTGCTGCCACTGCCATTGTCATACACCTTGTTCCCAAGAGACGCCGAATTCGCCGAATTCACATCCCGTAGGCCGACGTCCTTGTTCTTGCTTGGCCCGTCATCTCCGATAGGGTCGCCTCCTCCCCCTTCCTTGGGCGGTATGTTGCCATTGACTTGCGCATCGTCCTTGTTGTTGTCGGTTGTCTCTTCTGGCAACGTTTCCCCGTTGGCATGCTCTTTCTCCTTGCCCTTCCCTTTGTCTGCATCGAGTGGGGGATCGACGTCCATCTTTTCCCCGGACTCTTGCCTGGGTTGTCCGAAAGGAGTCTCAGGTATTGTGATTTGTCGAAATCTATCGTTTGGGTTTGGGGGTGCATCAATCGCGGCCGGTGAGGAGCTTGTTGTCCGTCGGAGAAAGCGGGCAGTATCGGTAAACAAATCGTAATCGTTCGGCTGTATCATAGTCTCGCAGGGAGCCCAGATGTTGTCGCCAATGAGCTTTGTCAGCAGAGGCTTGACCTTCCAGAGCGCTGTGTTCTCCTTGTGCATCAGGTTGCTGCTTTGGTTCACCAGCTCCGTCAACGCCTTGGACGTGAAGGGTCGCGACAGCGTGGGGTGGGTGGGGAGGCCCGTCACGGCGGTCAAGGGGGCCAATAGTCCTACTGTGTGTTAGCCATCATAGCACATGCGCCCAGGACGAACAACAGAGCGGCGGAACCTACGCTCTAGGTGGATAGAGGAGTAAGGATTGTCCTCCATGGCAGACGCCACCACCTCTTGTACACGCTCTTCATTGTCATCGCTGTCCAGCTCGTATCCTTCATCGTCAACCAATGGGGGGTTTTTGTTTATGATGGCACGTTGATAGCCGGCGTGTTCGGCGACCTTTGAAACCCAGTTAGCCCTGGTATTCATACCACCAGATGTTCAATGCGCCATGGGCAGTCACGCACCTCCTTGTAGATGGCAGGATCTGTGGATGCTGTAAGGTGGCCCTCCTTGGTAAATCTCGCTCGCTTCTTAAGTTTGTGGCCACGATTTGTGGTGTGCTCGATCTCGGAGTCGGAGTCGGAGTCTATGAGGGAGAGGTGAGCGACCAGTTAGCGCTTCTCGTTTGACAGCAAGCATTTAACAGCAAGCAATGAGCCAAGCAAAGGGGGGCTTTTGCGCACCATAAGGTTGTCGTTTTAGGGCTCTCCTGAGGGAGACAATCGTCTCCATGATCAGGGCATTCTGTTGGTTTGACATGTTGAGGGCGCTCGACTAGCAAAAAGCGGTAGGCGCCCAGCATTCAGCACTTAGCGAGGTGGTGTTGGAGGAAGGAGAATTGGGGCCGTGGTTTGGATCGTGAATTTGCCGGTAGTACGCCTCGTAGCGGTGTCTAACGTCTAAGACTTCGTGGCTAAGCAGCGGTTCGTTGAGAAGAAAAAGAGGATTGCGCAAATGGTGTCGGATAAGCTGAGATGCAAGTATGTCCTGGAGTGGGCGAGTTGCCTGCCAGGTGCTGCTGGGAAGGTCGTGCGCTCCACCCAGCACCAGTGAGTGGAGGCGGACAGCAGCGGCACGAAGTGGACCCCCTGCTGTGGCACTGAATATCCACAGACGGACGGGGCCGGCAAGTAAGCATATTCATCCATTAAACATTTAGAGATTGACTTAAGTTTGCGATTACTACGGGCTTTTACAAGGTTGAATTTATGTAAGTTGAGTGAACATCCACGTGAGAGATCTTCATGTTGGCGCACGAAAGAAAAAAAAAAAAAAAAAAAAAAAAAGAGAATTAGCAAAATTGAAAAACTGCACCCGACGTGGGACTCGAACCCACAGCCTCAAGATTGAATGCTATTCAAGATAGAAGTCTTGCGCGCTACCATTGCGCCAGCCGGGCATGTAACCAATCAAATGAGACATCTTACTGGTCGACGGTTATTTCCGAGCCCCTGTATTATCAATGGTGTCCTTCAAACAAATTCGGACGCTGCTACTTCACCGCCTTGAAGTGGTACCTCAGGCTCTTCTGCCCGCACCCCTCCCTGAGCGTGGCTTTAGCTAAGCTAGGGAGCTCCTACCCATGTTCAGTGCCGTCATTCCGCCAAGCTCAGCTCTCGTGTCGATGGATGAAGGGATCGAAACAAGTCCCCTGTTCCTCCGTCGTCACAACTCACAACGCCACCTTTTGCATCAACACCAGCGTTCAATTGACCACCTACTATTGAATCGCGAGTAACAATGTCTGGAGACGACAGCTATGAGAAGTTTGCGCAGGATGTGCAGCTCCATGCTATCCCGGAAGAGGGTTTCGCAAATCGGCGGCTAGATCGAGATTCTGTTCTCCGGCAGGCGCAAGCGATGGGCATCAGATTCGAGGCGCTCCCACAAATGCCCTGGTTTGCAGGTCTATTTGGCTTCAGTGATGCTTGGAACAAAGAACAGATCACGGCCAGGTGCCTAGGATACACCTACCTGGCGAACCGGATGCTGGACCAGACAGAGATCGACGCCGCCGCCTATCACGTCGCTAACCGCAACCGCACCATGGCTTACTCGGATCCCCTCACTGCCGGCATTGCCATATATTACGAGAGGCGCGGCCGTGCCAGCTTCAAATTCCCATTCTACACACCCAAGGCAGCAACGTTTAACCCAGAACGCTTCCCGATAGGACCGTCGGCTTGGAGGACTGGACCAGCGGCGCGGGCTGCCTGGCACGGTACTCGGGCTGCGGCCTATGCGACTGTCATTTATATCGGCGTTCACACGGTCATGAGGGTGTGGGGGGACTTCACCATGTTTACATCTATGGCTCAAGACAAGAGACTTGCCAAGTGGAGGGAAGCCGTCAAACACAATCCCAACCTTCCTCAGAACCAGCATCAGCCTGCTGGACGTCCTCAACCTACCCGTCGAAGCAGATCCCAGCCGCAACCATATCAGCAACAACAAGACCAACAAGAACAACAACAATATGGGCAACAATATGAGCAACAAGAAGAGCAATCCTCACCACCACAACGAACGCGAACGTGGCGTCCACAGCCTACGCCCGCACCGTCGCCTCCTTCTCCCTCGGAAGTTGTAGCACCACAAGACGACGACAGCTTTCTCTTCGACGATGCATCCCCCGTCGCCCCAGCAGTTGCAAGACAAACGGGCGAAAGCAGCACAAGCGGTTCGGTCTGGGACAGGATTAGACAAGGTTCAAGGGCAGGCGCGAACGCTGGCAGCACCACACAAGGCGACAAGACTACTACTACGGCTCCCCGGGGGTGGGCTGCGCGCCGTCAACAAGCCGCTCAGGAGGCACAGCAGACGGATGACTATGTGTACTCGCGAGAGGCCCAAGACAAGGCTACGGCAAAGGACCAGGCGCAGAGGGAGTTTGATGCGATGCTGGAGCGGGAGCGACGTGGGTCGAACTGAGTGGGGGGATGAGCGGGTGCTATCGCAGAAAGGGGGTGCTGTATGAGAATATGTATATGTGTATTCAAGGTTTCGATGAAAAGGGTTTGGGAGTTAATTGATTAGGTACCTTAGTTACCTTGGGTCTACAATTCTTTGCTTTTTAGCATCCCAGTTTGATTCCATGTTTCGGAACTTGAAATCCCTGGTTGTGAGGTGAGATGTTTGAAATCTTATCAATGACCAGCTTGAGCTCCACAGCACGTGTTAATGCAACTGTCGCCATGCCCCCTGTTATTATCTAGCTGTCATTTCGGCCCAACTGGACAGAAATCTAGAGTCAAGCAGTTTTTTCCGTTATTGTTTATTCAAAAGTATCAAACCGCCGCCCCTTTCGTATCTTTGGCTAAAAATAGCAGGTGACGGTGATTGCGGGAAGAAAGACCCGTACTTCAGATACGGTCTGCACTCTACGGTAACTTTGGTCAAGGAGCAGACTACGAATTAACCTAGGTTGCTAGTCCGATAAAGACACCCGATGTATTGCAGTATGTCATATATCTAGTTCTTTCTAGCTTATGCACACCACTGCAGCTTTGCCATCCCGCCCATGTTACATCCCGAGCTTCATTCTTGCCAGACTTTCAAGCTGGTCCGATAATTTGATGTACGGAGCTCGGTTTGGCATGGAACCTTGAGACAAGCGAAGTAAAAATCCTCAAAAATATGATCAAACATCCAACCTAATCCGCTTTCGGTATCTGTTTATCTTGTTAATGGCCGTTCTAGGGGTCCTTCCTCGGTGTAGGGGACTCTCGGCCGCTTGCGACCGAGGAGGAATGGGGCTTCACGTGTGCCCAGATGGAGGGGCAGCTCCCAAGCTCGAAGCTGAGACCAGCTGCTAGAAACATAGCCCCACGCGCTGGTTGGTCCCCAGGGGGTCTGGGCTGCCATGGAAAATAAATGCACTAAAATACATATGCAAAAAGCAAAGCGTCCCAGTGGACGGTTCAGGAGATGGATGACATCGTCGGTCTCGTCCGGCCCACAACGACAGCTAATGAATGCACTTTGAGGTGCCGCGCAGAGGTGCCCGTCGGTCGCAATTCACTAACCACTATCAACCAATTTTTTTTTCTGTCCCTAGCAGCCCCCTATACTAGCTGCCTATGAATTAGCTTTCTTCACACCTCGGCCTCGTTTTGTTCATCTTTACCATTACCCATCGTTTGTTCGCGACACGCGGAAATACCTCAATACCCAAAGAATACACCTGATACCCTAATCCTATCCTACTTATTACCTGCCTGGCCGCTTCGCCTTTGGTCGACGAAATATACATACAGCAACACCGTTGGAAGATACCCGACTTTCATAAAACACCACCCTTGCGACCCTTCGCCTGATCCTGCGTGTTAGCCCGGGCCAGCGGAGAGTGCCCAGTCATTTACTTTTACCAGGTAGATAAGCAGCGCGCAACTCGAATATCTGCTATCTTTTGTGTGATCTCCCCCTCTTCGCCATATCTCGCAATTATCGAGTGCTTCGACATTTATTGTACCTCGGGGCTGCCAGGCGCAACCGACCCGACCGCCCGACTCCACAGTGACAGAACTTAGAAGAGCAAAAGGTTAATCAGCACTCTCTCTGCATATTTCCATCCTCGGTCGAAACCACCCCACGTCTCCCAGTCCGAACACAGGACAACCGCCAGGCTAGGACACAGTTCCTGCAGCGGCAAACAGCTTTCTGGGGAGAACGAGACTGTAACTGTACGGCTCTCGTTCCCCGCCACCAAGGCTCCCCATTTCTCTGTCATTTCGACATACTCTTATCTCCTATCGAGGCTTTCTCGCCATGGCGAACTCCGAATTACAAGCGGCCGAGGCCCAGGCCGCAGTTGTTGAAGACCATTCCGGTGCTCCTTCGACCTCAACCGACACAACGGCAAAGACCGAGAAGAAGCACGACAACAACGACAAGATGGCGGCGCCGCCTCCTCCGCAGAGCGCCGACTCGTCAACACCAACCAAGGAGCTGTACCCCATGAGCAACTGGAAATATGACGCATTTCTATGGAGCATGTCTATCCTGACGCTCTTCTTCCGCGAGGTGCATCCCCGTGGCTCCTGGAGGGTGCCCCGCAACGGGCCCGTCCTCTTCGTGGCAGCACCGCACGCAAATCAGGTTTGGCTACCCTATTCCTATTGGTCTCAACATGAAATCTAATGGCGCTGTGCGACATGTGACTGACATCATGATTCTCCGCAACCACAGTTCGTCGACGCCCTGATCCTCCAGCGGACGCTGCGGGACGAGTGCAAGCGCCGCATCTCGCTCCTTATCGCGCAGAAGTCGGTCCACGGCTTCATCGGATGGGCGTCCCGCCAGGTCGGCTCCGTGCCGGTCGGCCGAGCACAGGACGCGGCCAAGCCCGGCAAGGGCACCATCTACCTCCCCGATCCCATCAACGACCCGACCCTCATCCGCGGATACGGCACGAACTTTAACAAGCAGTCCGAGGTGAGCGGCATGATCTTCCTGCCCTCGATCAAGGGCCAGACCGGCGCGAGCGTCGATATTGCCGAGATTATCGGACCCGAGGAGCTGCGGATCAAGCGGCCGCTGAAGGACCAGCTGTCGTTGACGCAGCTGACGGGCCGCGATGACGTTGATGAGCATGGGCAGTTTGGCGACAAGAGCTTCCACGGCTGCAAGGAGGGGTTCAAGGGGACAAAGTACAAGATCGCGCCTCACATCGACCAGACAAAGGTCTACCAGGCCGTGTTTGACCGCCTCAAGTCTGGCGGCTGCGTCGGCATCTTCCCCGAGGGAGGCAGCCACGATCGCACCGAGCTGCTTCCGCTCAAGGCGGGCGTGGCTATCATGGCTCTCGGCACGCTTGCCGACGCCCCCGATTGTGGTTTGAAGATCGTGCCGGTGGGCATGAACTACTTCCACGCGCACAAGTTCAGGTCGAGGGCCGTGGTGGAGTTTGGCCCGCCGTTCGAGGTGCCGGCGAAGCTGGTGCACATGTACAGTAACAAACAGCGGCGAGACGCCATCGGCCAGCTCCTGGACATGGTGCACCAGGCGCTGAGCGCCGTGACCGTCTCGACGCCCGACTACGACACGCTCATGGTCATCCAGGCGGCGCGGCGGCTGTACAACCCCACGGGCAAGAAGCTGCCGCTGCCCGTGGTGGTGGAGCTGAACCGCCGGCTTGCTATGGGCTATGAGAAGTACAAGGATGACGCGCGCATCCAGAAGCTGCAGAAGTCGGTCAAGGAGTATAACCGGCAGCTTCGATATTTGAATATTCGGGATCACCAGGTGCAGTACGCGAGGATGTCGTGGCCTAAGGTTGTTTTGACTTTCTTCTACCGACTTGCGAAATTGCTTGTCCTATCAGCCGGCGTGCTCCCCGGCCTGGTCCTGTTCGGACCGGTGTTTATCGCGTCCAAGGTGATCAGTCTCCAGAAGGCCAAG